ATTTATGCTGAGGTGGCAAGGGTGTGATGGGCAGAATTTTTAGACTAAAAAACAGGGCCTGTGGGCTTTATGTTAACTGATTACATGCTAACATGGCTGCAACCAGGAACTCACAAGTGACTTGGGAGTGTCCTGGAATAGAGTATAAACGTTGTTCTTTCACTAACTGTTACTTTGGAAAATATAATGGCCCTGTTGAGGAAGGGACTAGAGTAACAGGCAGAGTATAGGAAACAGAGCTTCTTCCTTTTGCAGACACACTTTAAGGTCAGTGGAGTGGAATCATCACCATTTACTACAGCAAATGCTTTTCCCCCATGCAGAAGCTGACGGGCCAGAAGGCAACAGCTAATCATGCAGCAGAACTGCTGGCAAAGCGATTCTGCAGCCGAGGATCCCCACAGGAAACCACTGTGCTGCTTGTGGATGAGGTAATGTACCCTGAGAGGACAGGAGAAGTCTGTTCATTGATTTCCTTGCACTAACTGTGTAGAGCAGGCTATCACTTCAGGTCACTGGCTCAGTCTCTGAATGACACTGTATGTCTTCTTTGATAGCTTGACCTTCTTTGGACTCACAAACAAGATGTCATGTACAATCTTTTTGACTGGCCTACTCACAAAGGAGCCCGGCTGGTAGTCCTGGCCATTGCCAACACCATGGACCTGCCAGAGAGGATCATGATGAACCGTGTATCTAGTCGACTGGTAAGTCCATGGTGTTCTGTAAAAATGATTTCTGCCATAATTATAATTTTTATGTTGGAATGAAAAAGCATTGCCATCTTCTAAAAAAGTACCATACCCCATACTTTGGTATTCTGGTCCCTGTGTAGTTTTAAATTCCTAGAAGTTTAATTACTTTTAAAAATATCTAAGCATGTATCACCTGCCACCTGTTAGGTACTTGGAATAAAGCAGAGAACGAGGCAGACTATGTTGTGCCTTCATGGCCTGGTAGTTTAGCAGGAAACACCCACATCCAACCGTGAAGAACATGGTAAGGGAAGGTGGGAACTATTCAGGTCCTTAGAGCACCTCTATCTCCTCGAATGATTCTAAAAGAATAAAAGGTTCTAAGATACTACTGTCCTCCAGGATACCCTAGTCCTTGCTGCAACTGAAATGAGAAATAGGAAGAAATATGTTGTTCTATGGGGCTTGAGAATTGGGCTAGGGGACCTGAGTGTGGGTTTTTCCCCCCAACCTAGACAATGAAACTTGTTCCTCTCATCTTGACTCTTCAGGGTCTAACCAGGATGTCCTTCCAGCCCTATTCTCACAACCAACTGAAAGAGATCCTAGTGTCCCGACTCAAGCATTTAAGGGCCTTTGAAGATGATGCTATCCAGTTGGTAGCCAGAAAGGTAAGTCATCATCAAGAAGCTCTTTGCTCCACCTCTGAGCAAGTCATCAAGTCCTTCCTGAGCACCTGTTGTATGTATCTTGTGCTGTGTATGCTGAATGAAGAGAACTTTAGGAATAAATACCTATGGGCCGGGGTGGCAGCACACACCTCCAGTTCCATGTCTGGCAATTAAAGGACTCGGAGGACAAAGGAAAAAGAATCCCTGAGTTTGAGGCTGGTCTGGTATTCATAATAAGTTCTGGGTTAGCCAGGGCTACATAGTAAACTAGTGTCTCAATGAATGGATGGATGGATAAAATCAATGAAGAAACAATATTCTAGAAGACTCCTTAACCTTATTTTATCGTGTGATTCTTTAGAAGGCCTCAGGGATTATGGGCTTTTATACAAATTAACCATACATGAGTCAAGAAACAAATTGTTTTGTGTAATCAAAGGGATCATTTATATCCATGCAGCCACCGAGGAAAGACCAAAACCCTGAACTAATGGACACAGTCAACCCTTTGAAATTGGTCAGAGTTAGACCTGTTTATATGGAATCATCCATTCTACAGATAGGGCCATATACAGACTCTCCTCACTACAGAAGAGCCCTAAGGCTCCGGGTGGAACTGCTTTGGGTATTTTCTTGTTCTTAGTGTTTTCTTTCATTGCCTTTAGACCTCAGCCCAAGCTCTTACATTCAGACTGTTTCACAGGTTGAGGGTGATAATAGGAAGCAGGAAATAATGAGGAAATATTTGGATGTAGGAGGCTGTTATTAGAAGAGTTCTTTGGTCTACTGAAAACATTTAGCAATTGTGTATAACCCCACTATACAGAGATGACTGCTGTGTTTGTCTTTTGAGACAGGGTCTCACTGTGTACCTCTGGCTGGTTTAGTGTGCTATACAGATTAGGCTTGTCTCAAAAATCAAGAGATCTGACTGCCTGCTAGGATTAAAAGCATGCACTACCATGCTTTTAATATCTTAGTGTGTTATATACATACATACCTACATAGTTTTCTTGGTTTATTTGCTGGTTTTTCAAGACAGGGTTGCTCTGTAGCTTTGGCGTCTGACCTGGAACTCGCTCTGTAGACCAGGCTGACCTCAAACTCACAGAAATCTGCCTGCCTCTGCCTCCTGAGTGTTGGGATTAAAGCCATGCACCACCCCCACCGACCAGTTTTCTTGGTTTATGTGCCACAATTTTGGAGGAATGGATCATTTTAGAAATAGTTTGGTGCAGTCCAATGGCAGGTGGATTTCAGGTTGCTGGTGAATACTGGGAATGTAAGAGTTGAGAAAGGTCTTTATAGACTGCACTGATTCTGAAAATTAAAATGCAAATGATCTGAGTAGGTATGGCAGTGTATCCCCATAAGCACTTGGGAAGGTGAGGCAGGATGATTGCAAAGTCAAGGCCAGCCTCAGCTACGTTGGAATAGTTTGTCAAAACTAACAAGCAGGTAACAAAGCACTCAAGTATGGGAGAGTGAAGAAGGGTCCTTGAGCATTGGACCTGGAAACTGGAAAGGAATAACAACAGCCCAGCATTGTGCAGTGCTCTGACTCACCTGTCTCAACATAGGGGTCCCCAAGTTTCATTGCTTTCTTTCCTCCCCATCCTGATTTTAATTCTTGTAGACATTGATTGGGCTGTTTTCCCAAATTTACTGCATACTCGGGGAGATCTCACTTCCAAATATGTTCTCTCTGGCCTTAAGTGGCTGCTTCTGGGGCATACAGAATGAGAACCCTTGTGGGTTTTGGGTGGGTGGGTGTTTGTTTATTGTTTATTTTTGAGACAGGGTCTTTCTATGTGTATGTAACCATGACTGTACTGGAACTCACTTTGTAGACCAGACTGGACTTCTGCGTCATCATTCCCAGCTTCCACAGAGGTCAGAATAGAGCTTTGGAGTCCCTGGAACCTGGAGTTAAGACTATTTGTGGTCCACCATGTGCTCACCAACTAGTACCCTTAACCAGCAAGCATCTTTTCTAGCCCCTCCTTAAAAACAAACAACAAACCCCACTTATTTCCTAAATACTAAAACTGGGGATTTTTGCCCTTTCTGCTGGAGTTATCTATAAAATCATGGGACTGTGGTTTGGAATTAATGCATAGTGTTCCGTATATGATACGGTTTATTGCAGGCTTTCACAGGGTGCCTTGACTGTTGACGTTGGGACAAGACTATTCTCAGCACCACATTATTTTTTAGCTGTGCATAGATCCAGTGGTTATTAACCTAGGTTGAGATGGCAAGTGGACACTGTAAATAAAATGTTCCTCTTGTAGGTAGCAGCCCTCTCCGGAGATGCCCGGCGCTGCCTGGACATCTGTAGGCGTGCCACCGAGATCTGTGAGTTTTCCCATACTCAAGGCGACTCTCTGGGCCTGGTGACTGTGGCCCACTTAATGGAGGCTATAGATGAAATGTTTTCCTCATCCTACATCACTGCCATCAAGTAAGATGCTCTGCTGCCTGCACCTCTGGGAGGGTCTGAAGAAAGATGACAGCTTTGGGGTTTTGGAAATGTGCTTCTGTTTCTCAAGTAACTGAATGTAGCTAGAGAAAGTCCTTAGGGGCAATTGGGGAAGGCAAAAACAAAATCCTTGGTAATAGATTAATGCGTATTAAAATGTATTAAGTATGAATACTATAGGAATAGGCTGGGGTTGGTTATTCATGCCTATAATCTTAGCATTTGGGAGGCTGAGGCAGGAGGATTGCCACAACTTTTAAGACTAGCCCGGGTTGCATAATTGAGTTCCAGGCTAGCCTAGGCTACACAGTGAGCCCAAAAAGAAAAGGACATATTTAATGGTAGAAAGATGAGTCAGTGGTTAAATACACTGCTTTTCTTGTATATCACTCAGCATCCGCCTGGCAGTTCACAAATGCTTGTAACTTCAGTTCTTGAGTTCTGACACCCTCTTCTGCTATACACACACACATACACACACACACTTTTTTAAGTTACATGAACAATCCAGGCAATGGTGGTGCACACCTTTAATCCCTGCAGAGGCAGATGGATCACTGAATTCAAAGCCAGCCTGGTGTCTTCAGAGCAAGGTCTAGGACAGTTAGGACTACACAGAGAAATCCTGATTCAGAAAAAAAACAAAAGTTACATGAGCAGGAAATAGCTGTGTTTCTTACCGAGGCATACTCTGCTCCCAAAATTTGGATGTGAGGCTTTTTTTGGTTATTTATCTATCTGAGGTACAGGTATAATTCCAGAAGTAGTTGCTATGTTCCCCATTTCCAAGAGAACATTTTCTGTCAACTATACTTTGTCAGGTGATACAGAAAATGTTTCCTCTCCTTGAGGCCAGTGGTATAGGCAGCATCTTAGAATTCACATTTTTTTGTTTCTTTTAAGAAACTGTTCCCTCCTGGAACAGGGCTTCCTGAGAGCCATTATTGCAGAATTCCGTCGATCTGGACTAGAGGAAGCAACATTTCAACAGGTAATTGGTTGAGTCCTGTTTACTTTTTGTTGTGGTGGTTGGTTGGTTTTGTTTGGTTTTATTTTTCTTGGTTCTTCTAGATATGGGTCCAGGGTTCTTAGTATAGTATAGTGTTACAGCTCAGATGGTGAAAAGTATCCTGGCAGCCAGGAACCAATGAATATCACAAAGAGATTTATTGTGAGGGGAAACCCCATAAGGGTGGCTGCCTCTGTTATGAGCAGCAGCAGAGAACTGGGCAGAACATGCAGTTGGGACAGGGCTTTCCAGGGTGGCCTGACCTTGGGGCAAGCTTGTCGGTTTTTTTTTTTTTCTTTTCTGTAGGGCAGGGCCTGGCCATTCTCTTAGCCTCCTGGTAGGGCCTTTAGGGACGTTTGGGGCTTGGGAGTGGGGGGCTAGCCAGTAGAGGTGTGGTGGGAAGGTGGCCACTCACCAGCTTCAAGGGGTCAGGCTGGGCTGCCAGAGTAGTCCAAGTGCCCAGAAGTGTCCAAAGGTGCAAATTATAAGGTATCTAGATAGCCAACACTTAGAATATGTGGAACGGAGCTGAGAATATACTTCAAAAAGTAGGTATTGGCCTTGAATGAACAAATTTCAGTTCCGTTCTTTAGTACATCATAAACCAGGCATGGTGGTACATGCCTGTTATCCCAGGACTTTGAGATAGAGGCAGGAGGTTCCTAAATTCATTCATCCTTGACTACATACCCAGTTTGACACCACCCTGGAGTTTGTGAGACATTTTAAACACAGCAAACAAGCCAGGTGGTAGTGCACGCCTTTAATCCCAGCACTCAGAAGTCAGAGGCAGGCCAGCTTGGTGTACAGAGTGAGTTCCAGGACAGGCTCCAAAGCTACAGAGAGATACTGTCACAAACAAACAAACCCAAAAGTAAAAACAAACAACTAACACAACCCAGAAGGGACCTTTAATAGTTCTCTATTCCAAATATTGCTCAGTTGCGTGCAAACATCTTGAGGTAAACTGAAGTTTTGCTTTAAAACATGAAGTAGCCACATGGTGACTCACATTTGTAAACCCAGCACCGGGAAAATGAGGCAGGAGAATTGCCAAGAGTTTGAGGTTAGATTGAACTACATGGTGAGTTGCAAACCACCTTGAGCTACAGACTAAGACTTTTTGCCTCAAAAAGACTAGAAAAGAAAGAGGGGAGAGGGGTAAGAGGAAGGAAGGAAAGAGAGGAGTGATTTGCCCAGTGTCACATAGGTAAATTACAGAAAAGCTGGGTTAGATGTGCTGTGTCCTCTTCTACAGCTTATTTTCTACTCCTTGGCAGTGGCGCAAGTGCATCTACTGATGAGGCATTTGGTATCTAAGGTACCAAGTGTCTGATTGTTTTGAGACTGGATCTTATTTTGTAGCCTTGGTTGTCATGGAACTTAAATATCTGTCTGCCTTTGCCTCCAAAGTACTTTTGAACTAAAGATGAGAGAGCATCACCCACCCAGCCCCAGGCACCCAAGTTTTGGAAAAGATGAATGATCAGATACAAACCCAGGATTATTGTTCCTCTTAACCTTTGCTTTACTTTTGATGTTTAGATATACAGTCAACATGTGGCTCTGTGCAGGATGGAGGGACTGCCTTATCCTACCATGTCTGAGACCATGGCTGTGTGCTCAAATCTGGGTTCTTGCCGCCTCCTCCTGGTGGAACCCAGCAGGAATGACCTACTACTTCGAGTGAGACTCAATGTGAGCCAGGATGATGTACTATATGCCCTGAAAGAAGAGTGAAGAGATTCACAGACTTCTGTTTCTCAAACAGCCTTATTTTTCTTCAGAACATGAGTTAAAGCAAAATACACAGAATGGAAATGATTATTGTAGATTTTTGTATTTTATGTTATTTAGTTTGCTTTTTTCCAGAGCGTTCGAGAAATTTATGGTAATGTACTATGTATATAAAGATATATATATATATATATATATATATATATATATATATATATATATATATATATCTTGTATCTATATAAAGTAGTTCTGGAGAATTTGTATGGGATTGACTACACTGGTTACCTCTGGGAAATACCTGGTGGTTTTCAGGGGTGAGGAAGAGTTCACTGTATGCCCACCACGATGTATTTGATCGTGAATGACATAAAATTGATTTTTTGGAAAAGAGCCAGTGGGGTTTTGTGTGCATCACAGTGACAATGTTCCTTGAATGCAGGAGGTACTGGGTTCATTTTCCACTGCTAAATGCAAGCCAAATGCCTTTAGCCCTGGTACCTTGTACCCTGCATGGTACATACCAACCTGCAATCCCAGAATTTGGGAGGCTGAAGCAGAAGGATTACTATAGGTTTGATGCTAGCCTGGATCACATAGTAAATTCAAAACCAGCCTGGGGAAAAAAAAACAACAAAGAACTGCTAGAATAATACAGGAATAATAGGAATAAAGTTAAAAGTTATCACTCACAGAGTTAGAGAGATGCCTAAGTGGTTGAGGGAACTTGCTCTTTCAGAGAATCTGGGTTCAGTTCTCAGCACCCAATGGCAACTCACAACATAACTCCAGTTATAATGTACCTGAAAACCTTACTTTTGTCTTCCAAGGGCACCACACATGCACATAGTACATATACATATATACATGCAGGCAAACACTAAAACAAAATTTGTCTGCATCAGTATGTATATGCCACCTGTGTGCAGTCTGCTCAGCAGCCAGAAGAGGCCATCTGATTTCCTGAAACTATTTACAAATGGTTTTGTAGCTATGTGTGTGCTGGGGACCAAATCTGTCCTCTGCTGAGTCACCTCTCCAACCGCTGTATCAGAATATTTTTATAAAAGGAAGAAGTTTAAAGATGTCATTTACAGAAGGAAAATTGATATAGAAATGTGTATTTTACATTGGTATGGATTTTGGCTTATTGATACAAATTTAAGGTCAATTTTATTATATGTGTATTTCTCTTGTTTAGGTTAGGTATTGTGTTTACATATCTCATTTAAAATGTAATGTATAATTAAATATAGATTATATATACTCACCTATAATAGTAAAAACTTATAGTTATGTTAGATCTTCTAGATATACAGAGATATTTGAGATGGATAGTCTTCAAACCTTTCAAAGACCTTGAGACTATGGCATTTTAAATGGTTTAGGGTTTTTCATGACTATGAGACACAATTGCACCTAACAACACCAATTACTTCAGAGAGGAAGTTGGGCATCGAAGAAACTTGTTATGGAGTTTGCTTTTGATATAGCAATACTAGCTATTTGGGCAAGAAACTGCTCTTGGCTGGAGTGTTTGATTGTATGCTGTATAAAGTAGACACACAGGACCCATAGGAAAGTGACTGCTTAACATGCCAAAACAAGATGGAACAGTAGTCCTTCAGGGTTCTTGCTTCACTGAGAATTCTGCCAGACACACAATGGCCTATAGGCTGAAAATGGATGAATTCTCCAACATTACAGAGGAACTTCGAGTGACTGACCAGGCAGTGAGATGTCTCTGTCAATTCTAGAGTTTATATGTTATCCTTCTGTGGTCTTTGATGGAGTTGAAAACAGATAGTTATAGTTATGATTTTCCTTAGTTATAAGAGAGAAGTAACATAGAAGACTTTAGACTCACAAAGATAGGCTAGATGATAGAATATTGTTTTTAAATTTTGCTAAATGTTAATAGACTAAATATTGTTAACTACAGTTCTTACTTGATAATTGTTTTCTTATATATTTTACTATGTTAAAGTTAAAACCCTTTTTATTTAGACAGAAAAGAGATGATGGGGAATATTCTACTGTATATATGTTTTTCTTATGGGTTAATGAATAAAACACTGATGTCTGATTGGCCAGACAGGAAGTGACATAGCTGAGCAGAAACTTGTCACTAGCTAATCATAGAGGTCTGGAGTTCTGTACAGACAGACAGGAGGTGATGTAGTTGGGCAGAATCAGGATATAAGCAGGGACAAACAGTTAATCATGCTTTTCTCTACAGAGACACATAGCAGTCAACATGTTAGCTGACAAAGGGGTTAGAGCTTTGGACCCTTCTCCATACCAATGTAAAGTGTTCATTTCTTTATCAAAAAATGAGTGACTAACAAAATGAAGCAGTTGAAATGGATAAAAGATGAAATTGGGGGCTCTTTCAGAGGATCTGAACTTAGTTTCTAGAATTGAAGTCAGATAGTTTACAACTCCAACTCCTGGGGATTTTACACTCTGATGTCCATGGACATCTGTATGCACAAATACAGACAAATGATAATTTTTAACTGCCAGAAATAAAAAGAAGCTAAAGAGATGATATACTGTTCTTGCAGACAATCTGAATTCCTTGTACCTATATCTGACAGTTCATAACTGCCTGTAACTCCAGCTCCAGGGTATCTGACATCTTCATATGAACTCTGAGGGCATGTATACTTGTATGTAAATACCTACACAGATCCACACGTGAATATATTTTAATCTTTAAAAATCTGAAACATGACTGTAGAGATGGCTGGGTGGGTGCAGTGTTTGCTTCACAAACCTGACCAATACACACAAAAGCTGGGCACAGGTGGTAAGCATATGTAACTCCAGCGTTGGGGGTTAGAAGACAGGTGAGTGAATGCCTAAGGACTTGACAGTCAGCTGAAACAGCTCTGGGTTCACTCTGAGTTTCTGTCTTGAAAAATGAGGAAGACACTACTATGAACCCAGGCATAGTGGTACATGCAGAGGCATTTTTGGTGAGTTTGTGGCTAGTTTGAGCTTCATAGCATGGTCAGGCCTTTCTGGGCTCTATGTAGGGTCTCCAAAAGCACACAACAGCACAACAAAAACATCTGGCTCTCATCTCAAAGTGAGTAACTAGTTGGTTCTGGAGCCAAATTCGAGTGGCGATGGACCGAGAACACAGAGTTAGGTTATACCAAGTACCATATTCAAGCATGATAGCAGTTTTATAGTTTTTATAAAAAATCGGGATTTTTTTCTTGTTTCTCCCTAATTTTGTTTCCTATTTTTATTTCTCTGTGTGTCTGTGTGTACATGCTACATGTGTGTAGTGTCCTTAGAGGCCAGAAGAAGGCATCAGGTCCCCTAGAGATGGAATTACAGAAGGTTGTGAGACCTTTTTACCACTGAACCCTTTTCTCCAGTTCTAAAGAAAAATTTCAAATATATTGGTGAAGCTTCATTTAGGTGGGTTCCAGCAAAGTGTAGACACTCCTGCTATAGGCTTCTGATGTTATCTGGTGATAATCGTCTTATCTTTTAGCTTAGTAGAAACTAGAAGTCCATTCATACATTCCTAAAGGATTTACTTGATAGTTGTGGACAATATAAATGGCTAATTAGGCACCTAAAGTAAGTCAAGGTAATTTGGCTACAGATCTCCAATATTTTACTTCTCTATAGTAATTGAAGTAATTCTAATCTGCTTTCTAGAATTTTAAATGTGGGTGCAAATTTTTCTGTGAACCTCCTTTAACTGAAGTTTCTAAAATAACTATAATAGAACTGCCATATGACCCAACTATATTGCTCCTGGGTATACATAACAAATAACTAACTTACCATATAAATACTTACACATGGCTCATGTCTATTGCTCTTCTGTTCACAATAGCAAGGAAATATAGTTGGAAGATAGATGAATCTATAATAAGTGATAATACTTGATGTTGTCTTGTGGATACTTTTAAATATATTACATAGTGAAACTGTATCTTACAATAAACCCAAAAAGACTCCCAAACACAAAACTCCGACAACAGTAACCCATAACTAGGGAGATGACTCAGTGAATATACTATAAGCATACGGACGTTAATTTGATTCCCAGAACCTACATTAAAAAGCTAGGCATATGGGGTCTGAGGAAACAGCTCAGTGGCTAGACATCTGCCACTCTCATAGAGGTCCCAGATTCAATTTTCAGAACCCACATGGCAGCTTACAACCACAACTCTGGTTTCAGGGGATCTGATGCCTCTTTGTCTCCATGGACACTGCGTATATATACATAAATACAACAGAACACTAGTGCTCATTAAAAAATAAAAAGGGGGGCTGCAAATGAGCCCCATTCCTCTGGCCAGCACAGGGATGGCCAAGATGTTACCAAGGGGGTAGGGAGGCCCTGCATGTGAAGAGCTCAGGACATCAACCTCACAACGCTCCTGTCAGCCAGTCTCGCGTTACCTGCTCAAAGATGCCTGCGCACTTCCAGCCCCACCCTCGGCGTCACCTGTCTGCGCCCCCGCCCGCGCACATGCGCACTGCGGATCCCTGGCTGTGGTGTCACGTGCCGGGCGCGAGCCACCGCCTCCTGGGCGGTCGCTTCCTGTGGCCGTCTCCGCCGCCGCCCGGGGGCCGCGGGAAGCCTGGCGGTTCCGGGCTGGAAGAGGCCCGCTTTTGGTTCGGATCCCCCGCGAGGTATGCCACGTGCCCCTCTCCGCAGAGGCGTGTGGAGGCTGGGGGCGGCCGGGGAGATAGCGGAAGCTTGGGCCGGGCCGGACCTGGCAGTGGGAGGACGTGCGGGTGTGGGGAGCCTGGCGTCGCCCCTCGACGCGGACCTGCCTCTCCTGGGTCTGACCGGTCTGGGGCAGTGGAGCGCCTCTTTCTCCTGAGCTCCGAAACCCGCCTCTCGGAGTCGAAATCTGACACTTGGAGTGACAAGCGCTGGGCGCTCACACCCAGGGTACCTCGCAGCCCTGTTGACGCGGGACCCTGTCTGTCTCTCAGTCCCCACGCCACCCCACGCTCGGTCAGAGACTTGCAAGATGCTCAGGGCCAGGGTTTCCTGCACCGTGTCATCTCCCACTTCCCCGGGCACCTTTTGCAGCTCAACGATGGTTCCCAATGCTGTCAGGATAACGCCCAAATACCTTTAGAGCCTCAGGTGTTTCTACTTCGTCCCTCGTTCATGTCTCCGTTCTAGTCTCGCGGTTTGTTTATGCCTCAGTGATGCCGCGCCTTCCTTTTCCTTGTGTAGACCACGCGATTTCTCATTTTAGAATCGGTACCAGTTTGTTACATTTGCTTCGAATTCTCCTCTTCCCCATCCTTTCTAAGATGCCTTTTTTGATACCCTGGACAAGAACTGTGGCATCCATGGCCCCTGCAGTAGCCCTGTGGTGATTGTCTGTCCAAGGGTTGGTTTCCTTGAAGATTGAGGTGGGAGCAGACTAGTTTCTGCACTTCCAGGGCTGGGCCAGTTGTGCCACAGAACCCGCTGGTCACTTGTGACATCTGTCAGAGGATCTGAGTGCTGAGTCAGGTGTGGAGTGTCCAGGGAAACTGATGGTGAACGCGATCTTTGTGTGTTGCCTGGTGGCACCCATTAGCCATATACAACTGCTAAGCGTTGCCACCATGAGTCTGTCTTCTATGTCCATCAGTCAGTTCAGTAGCTGTGTGTACACACTCCCATATCCGTGTTGACAGTGGTACCCAACCTTTCATCCACTGCCTGGTCTTGCTTCTATGCTTTAATTAGAAAGGGTGTTTTACCTGAAGGAATCCACTCCTTAACCGCTGGTACCCCTGTTGGAGCCATGTCTCATCATCTGCTCCAGTATAAGTGTCTTCAACTTTACACCTAATAGGTATCTAGCCTGCCACGATGCCAGGGCCAAGACCTCGGAAGGGACCTAAGAGCAGAGGCCAGGGTGCCGAAACTGCCAAGCAGGTATGGACATGGTCTCCTTCATCTCAGGTTAACTTGGGGTGGGGATCTCTAGTCACTTGTGACAAATTGATTCACCTGTGTGGTGACTTGTTAGTTCATACAGGATAGGAAGTGCTTATGGTGGTGAAGGCCTCAGAGTCCAGTGACTGGAGCCTCACCTCTCTTGGGTTTCAACTCTGCCATACCACATAAATAATGTGAGTGTTCAGGAGCTACTGGGGCATAGATTGTTTTGAGACCCAGGTGTTCTCACAGGTTCCTTATTTGGGGTGATAACTTGTTGGCTAGCTTTTTTAGGGCCATAACCATTGGTAGTCAGTTGCTGCCCATGGACAAAGGGACAGACTCTAGTGAGGGAATCTGAAACAGGTGTATCTTCCATGTTTCTCTCCTTTATTTCTTCCGGGTCTTAGTCTATTTTTATTGTCTTCTGGAAGCAGGTAGGCTGGACTTGGTGGTCCACATCCAAAATCCAGATACTTTGGAGACAGAAGTAAGAAGATCATGAACTCAAGGCCAGTGTGGGCTACATAAGCAAGTTTCAAGTCACCCTTGACTGCATAGCAAGCAAGATTAAAAAACCAGTACAGATGGTGGCTAGGGAAACGGCTCAGTGGTTAAGAGAGCTTGCTGTTTTTGCAGAAGAATGGAATTGAGTTCCCTACACCCACTTGGTGACTTATGTGTCCCTCCATTTCTAGGGGATTTGACACCCTCTTTTGGCTTCCATGGACACTAGCCACACAGTCACAGTGCACATACATACATGGGGACAAAACCAAGATACATATAAAAGGACAAAATTTAACAAATCAGAACAGACAATGGGTTGGAGTAAAGGGCATAGATGTCATTAAAACCTTATTTTAAATTATTTTCTTGTTCAGAAAGTTTGGGCTATTTCTGAACATTGGGGTAAGCCATTAACTATATCTGCCTAGAACATTCAAAATATTGGACACAAAATAAGGTGGAGAGAGGGGAAGATGAGTTAGTGTTTGATAGGCACAGAGTTGTGCACATGACTTCTGTGAATAGATAGTAATAACGATTGCATAACAATGGGAATGTATAATATCACCTCGCTTCGTGCTTGAAAATAGGTGGGATGGCAGATTTCATGCTATGTGTTTACTACAATTAAAAAATAAATGTGCTGCACATGTTTATAATCCCAGCACTAGGAAGCCTGAAACAGAAGGATTGTGAGTTCAAGGCCAGCCTGGGATATATAATGAAAGCATGTCTCGTTACCCAAAAAGATTAGGGATGTGTGTATGTGGGTCTCTCAAGATGTTGAGAATTGACTAGTTAGTGCATTGCTAAGTGTTATGGCCAGCAGCTGTTGCTGTTGTTAATAATAGTGGTTCTGATGTCTTACTGGTTTCTTAAACAGTTCTCCATGTTTTATAGCTGTTTACCTATCTGATCATTGGGGCTCAAAGTGAGTAGGGATGAAATTCAGGACCTTGCTAGGCAAGTGCTCTTCTGCTGAGCTGGAACCCCAGCCCTGCTTGTTTTTCATCAAGTTGCCTAGGCTCACTTAGAACTTACCACGTATCCCAGGCATGTTTTGAACTGAAGTCTTCCCTCCTCCAGTGCTGGGATCATAAGCATGTGCCAGTACACGTAACTTTATTATTTTTTTTGTTTTGTTTTGTTTTTAGGACATGGTCTCATGTATAGCCCTGATTATCCTTGAACCCTAATCATCCTGCCTCCACCTCCCAAGTGTTGGAATGACATGCATGTCCCCCACTTCACCAGACTTCATTATGTGATTCTTTTTGTCTTATTTGTTTTGTGGCATGGTCTCGAGTTCTAGCCTGTCTTAACCCCTCATGTTTTGATTCATTATGTGATTTGAAAAAGAAAGTTGCTTAGGTGTATGTGTGAACATATGCTGTGTGTGGGTGTCCGTAGGCCAGAAGAGAGCATCAGATCCCCTGGAGCTGGAGTTACAGCAATTGTGAATCACCTAATGTAGTGCTCGGGAACTGAACTTGGGACCTCTGGAAAAGAAGAGGCATTTGAGTGCTGAGTCATCTCACCAGCCCCTATAATGTGATTCATGAGAGCCCTCTGAGGGCTGGAGAGATGGCTTTTCTATTAAGAGCCTGTGAATGTGGTTTCCAGTTCCCACACGGTAGTGTAAAACAATCCATAATTTCAATTTCAGGGGATCTGGCTTCTAACCTCCATAGGTGTCAGGCACATATTCATACATGCAGGCAAAACATTCTCACACATAAAATTATAAAATCTCTTTGCCAGATGGTTGTGACTGACGCCTTTGATCCCAGTACTTGGGAGGCAGAGGCAAGCAGATCTCTTGAGTTTGAGGTCAGCCTGGTCTACAGAGAAAGTTCTAGGATAGTTGGGGATACACAGAGAAACCGTGTCTGGGAAAACAAGAATAAATAAACTCTTTTAAAAATCTCTCTGTTGTTAGCTAGGGCTTTTTGTGGAGTTCAACACTGAGGACATGCTCCTGGGAATGGATGAGACTGAAGATGAGGGAGACCTGGAGGCGGAACTGTTGGCTCTCACTGGGGAAGTGAGGAGCACAAGCAAGAAGCCAGCACCCAAGGGGCAAGGTGAGTTTTTACACCCGGGCTGGTGCCTTACAGCCTGGAAGAATCAGTCAGCGAGCTCCCCTAGTTCTTTTAATAATTATATCCTTCCTGTAGCTCAGCCACAGAAAGCTATTTGGAGCTTCTTCCCCTTCATGGACAAATCTGATTCTAGCCTAACTCAGGTGGCTAGTGTTAGTCCTATATAGGTAGGGCTTTCTATACAGTAGGGGCCATTAGCACTGACAGATTTTGTGCACAGTAAATAGACATGGTGTCAAAAGAATAAGTGAAATCCCCCTTTTGGTATCAGAATAAGGAGTCTGAATATTCTTCTTAGCAGAAACCCTCAAAGGTAACCTGTATGTCTTTGAACTAACATCAGTGCTGTGACTGTGAAGGGCTAGTCTAGCTCCGCTTTGGGGTTAGACAAGCCTGGGTTTGAATGTTGCCTCTTACTAAGATTGTGATTTGGGGACATGATGTTGGTGCATCTTAGTGTATTCAGTATAGAAAATGATGATATTGGTCGAGTGGTGGTGGCGTTCACCTTTAATCCTAGAATTGGGAGATAGAGGCTAGCCTGACCTACAGAGTGAGTTCCAGGACAGGCTACATAGAGAAACTCTGTCTCCACCCCCTCCGCCCCTAAGAAGTGGGGGGGAAAATGAGGATAATGTCAACCATCCTACAGAATTGTAAGTAGTAAGTAGCTTGAGTAGGTGTTAAAATAATTTACACATGTGGAAGGCACAGTGGGCCATGTATAGGTATTTTTACCTACAAGCAGAACTGCAGTGAAAGTAGCAGCTTGTTTCTTGTTGGAGAGCCCAGGAAGGCATCCATAGCAGCAATCTTTTGAGCTGGGTCATGAAAAAAAGAGTTCCGTTCCGAGTGGGACTTTGCTGTGGAAGGGAGGGGAATGTCCACCTGGAATAGTACCAATGTAGTGAATTAAAGCTCCTGTACCGTCAGCACCCTGCTGAGTCCCTCTCTTTCCTCAGCC